AATACAATGTATATGAAAAATACCATTACCTATAGTGTTGTTTTTATGTCTGCACTATTCTTTCTTTTTCTCAATGGCTTGGCTTTTAACAGAGTGATTTTTAGAACTGAATTAATGAAATATGTTCCTAATGTTTGAAGTCATAGTATTTTTGAGAATAATCAAATCGCTTTATGTGAACATTGCATGGGTTCTATTTAGAAATAAAATATAATACTATTTTTCTATTTACAAATAAAGTACAATGCTATTTTTGTGCCAGTGTATTCAGAAACTCATTAATGGATGCACATCATTCAGCTGTCTAGAATCTTGCTTAATTAGACCTAGTCATTTGCCCTGTACGGCTGTGTTAAAGTACACCCTTTAGTGCAATCCCCAGTAAAACGTGTGCCCATCCAGAAAAATCTTTGTTTTAAAAAATATTAAATATATTTGAATTCTTTCAAAACAAATGCTCTAATTGGAAAATAATGCATTCTCTGTTTTAAAGAACGTACTGTTTGGTATGCATTTTATTTGGCTTAGAGACTGATTTTAAGGGAGGAGTAACAGTCTCACTGAACTTATTGTTGTGTAGAAAGATGTAATATTACTATAGGCAACTGATTTTACTGCCACTTTTTAGAAGCTGATTCCCCACAACTTAATAGAGTAAATTGGAGGTGCATTCTGTATTGTTGCTGGTTTTGCACTGAGATGGTTTAGCTGAAGTTGCGGATGAAATCAGTTGGAATGGATGAAGGAGCAGTCACACAATTCATTTCTGATGACTCTGTGGAAGGCAACCTCCAGCAGAAGTGGTGTGTGTGGGGAGATTGTGAACCATCGTGATGGTTTTACAAGTGACTATGTGTTTGTGTCTTCGTTTATTATTTGTGTTTGGAGGTGAGAAGAAGGGTTGTGTTCTTGTTTCAGATGTTTTTTCTTATTTCCAGAAGGATGTTCGGTCTGCAGTTTATCATAAAATGGTGTTGAAGAATAGAAATTGGCTCTGGTTTATGCTTAAAGAAAAGAGAGAGGAGAGAGAAGTTTTCAGTAACTCATCTGAAAACACTAAATCGCAGTAATTTATTGATTTGAAACTCTGTTTTGGCTCAATTTCTATTGCTACAGCTCTGTATGATGGCTAGCTGCAACAAGAAAATCAATGTAATCTCATTTTCATTGTTGTGCAGTAGTATATTGGTCAACGTGCTGCAAATGAGGATAGCCTGTAGGTTCTGGGGTTATCTTAGATTTTGTGCACTGCTGGAGAAGTAATAGTGTGTCTCCATCTGTGGGAAGAAGATAATGCTTCCCATCTTCTTTGCTTTGCACAGCACAAACTTTTAAAACATTCCCTGTTTTAATACTGTGTTCAAATTGCCGATGACTGGTCACTCTAAGCCAGTGACTTTTACTCATCTCTGTACCAACCCAGTACTATGGTTTTGTTTACTCCTTACCAAGTTAGTGCAGGAAGACCTGGTCTCTTGGCATGCTGTTCACTGCAGTAGCCAACTTGTGTCTTTGCTCCAATTTTGCTATTCTTAAACAAGCCACCTTCCTGCTCATCTGATGTGTTTTTATGAGAACTAAAGTTAAAACTGTACTTGATCACACTTTTATCTCACACACAGCTATTGAATTAATCCTTTTTTAAAAATATCTGAAATGACAATAGAGTGGCAGTTTGCTTCAGAAAATGCTAAATTAATACATTTAATTTTATAAATGTTGAGTGTTTAGCATGGAATTCATAGCTTTTGAATCTTGTGAACTGGTAATGAAGCTTCCATGGTAGATAGTCACTGAAGGATGTAAGTTGGTTTGGAGAAACACTTGTTTATATATTTAAGGCAGTACGACAGGGAAAATGTATAAAGTAAAAAAGGAGATATGCACTTGCAGAGCTGGGATTTTCATGACTGTAGTTCTGCATGTATAGGTAGAGCATTTCTCTGGATGAAATTGTAGGCCTACATATTTGTCTCGTGTGCTTAAAGCTCCAGTTCCAAATTATTTTTAAATCCTGTTTTAAAAAAAATCATAAAACACATGCTTTGAGTACTTTTCTCATTCTGCACTCCACTGAAGAAAATAAATTAACACAGCTTAGGGAAAACAAAACAAACAAACAAACAAAAAACCTTCTAGTTGCAATGACTTTGACCATAGCATGCCTTATAGCCTAAATAACTTAAGCAATTGAGTATAAGTTTAGGTCTGCAACCCAAGTTCAGGTTAGGACATTATATTTGAAGTAGACAATTTTCTTAAGTAAAGATTAAAGGACACATCTCCTATGAAGAAAATTGCTTATCTGCTTCATTTACTTGAAGAAATCAAAACACATACTTAACCAGCATTTGGTTAATGCAATGAAAGTATGTAAAATATAAAATACATTTGATGTCTTGGAAATTGTAGAACAAAAGATTTTGATTTGAATGGTAAAACTCTTCACAACTTCTTAAGTCTTGTATTTTAGTCAACCGTGTTTTCCTGTTTTATTATCTATTATAGTATGATTGGCTGCATTCCTGGTTCACAGCGATGTGGCTGCAGTTGACAAGCAATGCCATAGCACATAGCAATAATTCTCATAGTGTTGGGTCAGATTAGACGTACCTGTTTATTAAGCATGGTACTTTTGTTATCTTCCTGCAATTTGGACATCTGTTGTAATGACCATCTTGTATCACTTCCGAATAAGGCTTCTCCTCTTGAGAATGAATGTGGTAAGACTTAAAGTTTTCCCTACAGAAAAGCTTGAAGTTGGTTCATATTGTTTTTGACAATTTGCATTAATGGAGTAATTAGAATCATAGGAATAGCTGTGGGCAAATTGAAGGGGGCTGATGAGTAGATTTGCTCTGAAGTTCTTGTGGCCAGCAAAGCCTTTTACAGTGTCTGTACATTACCGTAGTATACTAATTCATGTAAAAGAAAATAATTGAAAAGAAATATATGAAATACTTGTTGCAATTGTATATTCAAGTTTAAATTGCAATTTATTACAAATGTGTGACTATGGTCTACTTGGGCTTAAGTGCAAGAACTTGGTTAATTTTATGGCTCAAGGCATTTTAAATTGTATATAAATCATGCCATTCTTTTCACATTTAAAACTATAGGAATCTCATTTCAAATTAATAACCAAAAAAAGAATACTTAGACTTGATTCAGCTAACTTTAAAAGTTTTCCAGCTTCCGATAGAAGTTTTTTTTCTAGCATATGTCTTAAATTAACAATAGAAAAGCCACTTTAAAAAGTAGGAGATTTTTTGGCTTTTCTGCTAATATCTGTAAAACAGCAAGAAACACCATCTATAGCAGCTTGATCATGTCTTTCTACAAAGTGCTTTAAATTGGGAAGAATGAATACATTCTAAAAGTGACCCAGATTGGCTTGATTTTTTACTTATGTGGCCATCTTTATATTAATTACACTACAGAGGGAACTAAATATTGAGACGAGACATGATTATTTTTTTTTTTATCTTGACACTCAATTTTTCTTTATTATATCTTCTTTGCTCCAAGAACAAATGGTTTTGTACTCAAATGTAATTTCCAATTTTTATTTATTCAGTGTAGTTCTTTTTTGCCTTTTTGATTACTGGTAAATTGTGCCATGATTCATTTTCTTGGAATCACTGTATTTCTCCACAAGTTATTTAAAAAAAACAGAAGTTTGAATATATAAAGCAAAATTCAAAGTGCTAGTAACTGTTTTTGAGAATTGTAGTTTGAATCTGGAATGGTACTGAAGACACACAAAGCATGTAAGAAACGAATCGTAGTGTCTGTATGTTCACTAGAATCTGAGAGAAGGACTTTTGGTCGTTGACAAGCAGTCAACTTCCCAGACATAACTTTTGAGACGTGAAACCTTGTTTGTGTCTTTGCCTGCTACGGGTGAGGACCTCGGGGAGCGTCTGTGGTTTTGACAGCGACACCTTAAAAGCCTACAATTTGCTGTCACAAATATATTTCTAAAGATCATTAATGAATAATACCACTGAGAATTATAAACGAAAGAGGATAAAGAGAATAGGAATAGAGAAATTAAACAAGTTTCGGAGATATTCATCAAAATTAATAGGTTTCAAAAGCTCAACAGCTGAGCTTAATTTCTAGTTCTGCTAAGTGTATCTCAGACTGTTGAATCACTATTTTTTCCTATGCAAAAAAAGTTTCTTTGCTCTTCAGCTGTCTGTGCAACGGCAAAATACAGTGAAAAATTGTGATCCATATTATATTGATTTGCCTGAAGAACAATGTTCATGCAGTTTATCTAATGTCAGTTTTGGCAGGGGGCTTCAGGGAGGCTTACTAGGTCTTATAGAACAGTCTGAAGTTGGAGTGTTCCATGACTTAGGCTGACCATCTTTTGCTGTCTTCTCTTCTGTGAGTAGTATTTGATCTGCTATTAATGTAATGAAAACTTGTGACTCATGATAATATCACACTGTGTTCTAAATTTCAAGTTTGAGATGTTTAGATATCTATTGCTTATAGGTAAGAAAAAAAAAAAAAAAAAAGCAGAAGCACAAGAAGGTAGTGGCATAGAAAGTTTTTCTAATTCAGAGTTTTGGAGTTTTGGGTTATTTCCTTCCAAAGATAAGAAAGGGTGTAAAGTGCTTGGGAAGTGGTGAGCATAGTTAATCACTACTTATGCTTTAAGTACTTTTCTCTTGCTTGAGTCTGGTGTTTTCCGTTCTGGTTTGAATAATGAATTTTCAAGCTTCCATTTTAAAACCGCCATGGGAATTTTCAGTGTTATCTTTGCCATTAATCCAGTACAAGACCAAGCTTTCATGAACCATCAAATCTTTTTAGAAAGCTACTCATTAGAAATGCTAGAAAAATTAAACTGATGCTTTTGTAAAAGCACTGTATGACCTGACAGTGTTTTCAACCCTTACTGATAAAATTAAAGAGGAACGTCAAATAACAAAATATCCAAGAAACTAATCCTACTGCAAATAATTCTCCACAACAATTTTGCCCAGGCTCACCTTTTCTAGCCAATGAAGATGGTGTACTTGGAGGTGTGATAGTTCTTCGGTCTTGCAGGTGTTCAGCAGAGACTGAATCGTCACAGGAAAAGCCAACTTTACTAGGTAAGAAATTTTACTCATTTTTACTTTAGGTTGGTGCTAACTCAAGGTAATAGCTGAAATAAAAATTATTGTTTGCCATAGTTTAAAAGCCACAAGTTAATACAGTTACAAAAGGTAATGTGTGTGTTAATTCAACGTTATTCTTGTATTATGCCTTGCTGGTTTGTGTTACAAGACTTCGTGTACACGAGATACTGAGTACTACTTTGTCACTCAACTTGAGCCTGATTGTATCACTCCCCAGAAAATAGCTTTTTAATGTTATATTTTTGGAGTTATTACTTGAATAGCGTGTCTTTTTGAAGAAGACTATTAAATAGCATTTAACAATTATCCTACTATTGTATTTCAACTATTTGAAAGCCAAGATGGTCTCATGCTGACTCCTGAAGCAGGACATGGAGTTGCTAAAAATAGAAAGAATGTTGCAAGTTTGATTTACAATTTTTAAATTTAAGAATGGAATAATTGTGACATTATTGATCTAGTGGAAAGTATCCCAGCACATAAATTCTACCACTAAAAAGGAGTTAAGAAAATGAAAATACAAGTCTGATTAAACAAGAACAAATAAGATCAGCTTAGCCATGAATTTCTTATGTATGGAAATGAGAGTAATGTTTTCTATTTATTTAGTATTTGACTTACATGTAAGAAAACATGTTCCTATTAAAGAAGATTTTCCTCAAAAATTTACAAAGAAAATTCCCCATGATTGTAAATAAAGACTTGATTGTTCTTTTTCTTTCCACTGAAATAAGTTTCTTGCAGCACAGTTTATTCTAAACATGTTTTTTCTTCAGTGCAGAAATTTTCTGCCTTATAATATATGTTGAGTTAATCTGTAATTGAGCATGTGTAGCATATGTGTTGTTTGGACTGAAGTTAAGTTGTGTGATACTGAACAGTTTGGTGTATAGAATAAAAAAATCGTTTGTCTCTATTACAGGGATGATCTTTTTATATTTTTGAAACTATTGAAACAATTTGCAAGAAAGTGATTTATTAAATAGTTGAAAATGTCCTCAGAGCAAGTATGTAATTTAGGATTTTTATTGTAGTTCCATTACTTTTATTAGTTAGCAATAATCACATTGCATGCTAGTATATGGTATTTTTGGTGGACAATGTAGAAGGAAAAAAATTCTTAAAAAAAAATAAAATAAAAATGCCTAGAGTTATCAAAGGCAAAGAAGTATTTTGAAGGTATTTGACCTGAACTGTTACTCAACTTCTCAAAATTAAAAGATAAAATAAATTTTGTCTGAAAAAAAAATGCTTTTATTGGCTGTTGAACCATTAGGGTGTTAGGGAGGGGTAGGCGTCATCAAACGCAGTTACATTGCACTGAATATGTGTCACTGCAAGGTTTTGGCTAGCCTTTGGCAATATCAGTCACAAATCTAGTACAGGGGAGCAAATCGCATACCTAAATGAAGTTCATTTTTCTTTTATGGTGATATCTGCACATCTGTCAGAATCTTCCAGTCTGCTGGGATTGTCCAAACTTTGATCTTCTGCTGAGGGTTAATTGCTATGCAAGGAAAAATGGTTCAAAGGATAAGCATGCTCGGCATGCTATGACCTTCGTCAATCATATTAAAGGACCGTGAGGAATAGCAACGAAGGAGCTTTAAAAATCATTTAATCATGCTTTTTACAGTATGTGAAAGTCTTTCAGTAATAAAATACGTGAAAAAAGCTTTTCATGGTATCATATTTAATTCTTGTAAGACTACTCTTGTAATCCAAAAGAAAAATTTTTATTTCAGTGCGATTTTTAACTCCTTACAGTATATACCCTAAATTCTGATTAACAACTCTTTCCCTCATCCAAATTATGGACTTCATGACAGGAAAGAAAAATGTCTGTGAATAAAGCAAGAAAAATACTTGGTGGCAATTTATAGAACTCCGTTAGATGAGAACTAATACGAATAATGTGTTCTTTGTCTGAACTTTGTAGGAGTGCGTGTATGCATCAGGGAATTAAAGATCACTGCACAGGGCTGTTTAAGACTGATAAATCAGACCACTTTTAAATTTCAGAACAACACATTGCTTGATTAACATGCTGTAAGGGTACACGTTACCAGAGTTTAGTTTTCGAAATCACTATTGCTACAAACGCAGAACTGTTTGTAACGTTTGTATTCTACATTAGCTGTGAGTACATGGTACCACGGAGCTGATGCTGCATATAGCTAGTGCTGGAGGCCAAGGTGATTTGATTTGATTTGATTTGATTTGATTTTGATCAGATTTGAAAGTGCATTGATGTGGAGGCCAAGAACAAAACAGGCTGATTTCTTCTCTTCTTTCTTCTCTTACCTTTGGTGTTTCATGCTCCTTACTCTCTCCCCAAAGCGAAGGGGTGATAGTATCTGCTCTTGATATCATTCGGTATACTTTCAGGATCAGGTCTTGCTCTGCGTTTGCGAGGCATCTTTCTTGCTTATTGTGCAGGATTATTCTGGTTCCATCCAACGTCTCTCCTGCTGCTTCTGCAGGATTATTTCTCTTTCACCAGGCATCTTTGTATGTCTTCAGTTCTGTCTTGCAGAGTTTACTAATTCTGCATGCTTTCCTGTATCCACTGTACCACAAATCTCTGTTTACCCCTTGGTGTTTGCATGTATTTATGCTAATTTCTGTGAAAAAATGCTTGATACAGGTTATTTTTGGATAGTCTTACAATTCTACAGAATCCTTGTACACCATCTGAGCTTACACTGTTGTAGAGGGCTTGTGACTGAGTTCAAGGCAAGCAAATGCAGTTTATATCTGCTTCTACTTTATGGGTGGAACCAGCCTCTGCTTTAGAAGTTAATCGTATCTTTTAACTTCATTCACAACTTTTATATTTCTCATCTTGGAGGCTTCTTATTGTTGAAGTAACTTTCTCATCCTGGGTATTAGTTCTGCAGTGTGTGGCTACAAATAGGACAGGAAAATCTTGTTTGGTTGGTAGCTGTTTCTTTTGAGATTAAATTATTCTGGTAAGTAGTTTTTATTCTTCGAGTTTTGTAAGACCCTGTTCATTTCTTTCTCCTTTCTCAGTCTTTATTTTAAGCTAAGTTTTTTTTTCTCAAGATTCCAGTCTTGTTAAATTACATCTTATATTTTTTTAAAAATGCATTTTTATGACTTCTTGCATTTTCCTTTATAGTGGAATTTCTGTGGAGCCATACAACAGAGAGCATGTGTGTAGGATATATGTCTGCACAGGATGGCAAAGCTAAGGTAAGCCATGAGGAATAGGTTGTAATACAGTAGAATGGGTGCAGAAGTTAAGGAGAATTTAAATAACAAAATACATAAAAATTCTATCTTGAAGAGAAGGGAAAAAGTAACAGGTGCAGAAGAAATTAAATGTATTTATTGATCGGGCCTTTCCGATTCCCCTTCCTTAATTGCAGCAGTTAAGAAACCTATGCTAACATATGTATTATGTCAGGAAAAGGTGTCACAAACATATTGTCATTCCTTCTGCTGTCGGTAATTGTATTTGAATAATTTTATCCAGCTTCATTCAGTTACACTCTTTATCTAGGGCGGTACACTGTTTTTCTGTGGGTGTTTCTTCCTTCAGATAACAGAATTGCAACATCATCAAAGAAGAAGGGAGAGGATATAAAACAACCTTGGAGCTAGTTCCTAGAACAGCCTCTGTTATATACAATCTGGATGTTAACATCCGTGTTTTCAGTTTCTTGGGGACTATTTACTTTTTTTTTTTTGAATGAGAGAAATAATATATTAAAACTGAGTTTAGCAATGGGAACTAGGAAAGTCTTTAATGTCAAATAGTAGAGGTTAACCAAGAAGGATGAGAGCCACCTATGCTTAGGCAAATACAGTACTGAAGGGAGAAGGCAGCTACTGTGATGGAGGGAGAGGACTATAAAAACAAAATCTTTCTCTGTCTTTTTTTTGGGGGGGGAGGGGGAATGGGGAGGCGTGCGGGGGAAGGAAGCTGTATTTCATTTGTGAGAGAAATATATAAAAAAAAATACAAAAGAAGGAAATTGACATCAGATAATTTTACACACCAAAAGTGGTGTAACATGCTGGTTGTAGCATTGGGAACAGATGTGTTACTTTGAGGAGAAAAATGTATAGAAAAAAAAAATACAAAAATGCCCTAGAAGGAGAAGGAGATAAAAAGCTGGTGAAGGTAATGCTGGTAGAGGTGTTAAAGTACTCTCTTTCATAGCATATGTCAAGTTCCTTCCATCTGCGTATGGAACCGGACATGTTTTTACTTGTTTTCTTAATATATATTTTAGATTTTCTTGGAAAAGAATCTAAACTCGAACTAAAAGCTCAGACTGAACTAAGTAAAGCTCATTCAAGCTCAGCTGTGGATGTGCTAGTATTCATCGGTTAATGCAGAAGTCACGGTATGGAGTTCACAGTGAAGGAAGGAGGATTTCTAGAATGCACAGTATTAAATTATTACAGTGTGCACACCTGCTTCTTGCTTACATTATAATGCTCCAAAGCTGTGTCCAAGGAAATACTGTTTCTTCCTGGTAGTGTCTGTCTAATTAATGAATAAATGCTAAATATGAAATCTGTCTGGTAATGAGTACTAGCATGACAGTGCCATGCCCATAGATGTTTTCCTACTCACAGTTGCAACATTTGACATCTGGTGTGCATTGTTTTCATACTGCTGGTAAATTCTCCAGCTGGTAATCTTGATTGCGCTGACAGACACAGCTGCTCCTCTTGGTTCACTTTTAAATTATGTTTTTGACCTTCATTGAAGAGTTAATCCCCCTCCCTTTCTTCCTCCTTTGAGTCTGTGGCCACAAATGCTTTCCAGAGAAAAACCACAAATGCTTTTGCTGCTGACTTCTATTGATCAAAAAGAGTCTTCTGTCATAAAAGCTGGAATTTTATTCTGCTACAACTAGGGCTAAGTTATAGATGGAAAACCGGGCTTGAAATAGAACACAATGTATTGTAAGTTTAAAAAAAAAATAAATCTTTTTTATTTTCTTTAATAGAATAACTGTTTTGGAACAGTTCATTTTGAGTGCTTGCCATTAAAAAAATAAGGGTAGAAGAATTCATAAAAGTATAAAATATCACTTGTTTATGAGTACCATAACAAAATCATCAGGCTGCAGCTTGTAGGGAAGCATGTTGCTTTCCTGTTTATCTAGGGGGGGAAAGAGCTTCAGTTCTTGTTTCTTTCATCAGTTTAGGACTCAAGTTTTATTCTTAAACCAAGGGATTGTCACAGTGGCTGATTTTGGGCTGTTTCAATTTAATGAACATGAAAGCAGATATTGTCACAGCAAGGCTTTTAGAAAGTGAGAAGGTTTTTAAGTGTCTAGTGTTATGAATTAGACTACTATCAGAATCATAATTATATAACTGGCTATGTACTTAAGAAAAAAAAGGTCCTGCTGTATAGTCTTGGTGTGTTTCTTTGTGCATTGGAGGCTAATGTGTTTCATAATAGTATCTAGAAAATGGTCATTGTGAATTTGATGCTAAGAGGTAGCAGAGGCCTTTCTTACAAGGCAAGACACTGCACTCTGACCAGCTGGATACCAGCTCACCTACAGAAACTGGTACACTTGAGAGGCAGAAACATACTCAACCAGTTAACTATCAACAAGTCCCTAAAAGAAAAGTGAGGCAGGAAAGCGGGATCAGAGGCTTGAAACGTTTTGTACGTCCTGACCTGCTGGTGCCTCTGGCTTTTAGCGCTGTGAGCTCTCCAAGTACTGATCTGGAGGCAGCCTTGCAACAGGAGTTTATTTCCTTCCGATTTAGGAACGGCTGGGCTCTGCAGCCAGCCGCTCACCTCCAAACAAGACTGCTTGTATGCTCACGTGCCAGCCTGAATGCATGAAGTGGCTGAGCCTGCAAGATCTGTAGAACAGTTTTGCACTGACTAATACTTGTTCGATTTAAAGCATGCTTTGCGGAAAGGTGTCCGGTCCTTTTTGTTGGAAACCAGTTTTCTGGAGAAGTCATTGCTTCCTGATGAAACGCTGGTTTAAAATTTGGTTGAAATTTAACAATAGTGTGAAGGCTTGCCAGGTGAGCTAAGTTCACACCTGACTGCTGATGCACTCATCTCTGGTTGTGTCCTCTGTTAGTTGACTTTAGCTCTCCCTCAGAGTGAAAGTATTTCAGCTCCTCCAGCACTGACAACAGCAGTAATGTCATCTTTGCTACCTGCAGAGTAGCTGCATCTGACCTCCTTCTGGTCCCTGGAACCCTTACATCACTGCCGCAAGTAGCTCATCAAAGCACATCCTTGCTGGTTCAACATTGTACTCTGTTTTGTCATCCCTCTCAGCACTAGCAGCTTCATAATCATTCAGCCCCATTGTTTGTCAGACACTGGATGTGGAAGGAAACAAACTTTGACTTTTTAAAGTATACTTCTTGGAACTAACCTATACCACCTATTGCTACAACTTAGGCAGGGACTCTCAGCTTCATTGAGCTTAAGTGATGGATATATTCTATTTTAGCAGTTGCCACTGCATTTGAGATGTAAATGGAGAACAGGAAGGAAAGGAGGTTTGTGGATAATTACAAATTACTTGACTCCTCTAAGCTGCTGCAGTCTTTGTATCTTATTCTTTGTCTGCTTTGATCCTAGAACGCTGCAAAGGATAAGTTTTTCAGTCTCAAGTGACAATACAACATTTGCTAGCAACATAAGCACACATATAAACTGCATCTCTTGAAGATTCTGGTTTTGGGCAGGCAGTATTTCTTTGATATAACACCGTATATTTTTGCATAATCAAACAGGAGTCCTTGTAGCCCTGGCAGGGTCTGCAGTGTATTTGCACACATGGGGCCCACAGCATTTTGTGCCCACAAAGTAGAAGTGGGTGGCATGTGCCACAGGACTTCTTTTTTTCCTGGATACCCCAAATTTCTTATATTATCTTAGTGATTTAGAGCAGTTGGTGGTGGATGATATTTTTGCTTGAAAATAGGGACTTCCTCACTGTGTTTTCAGTAGTGTTTCGAGACCAGGTGCTTTCTTTCAAGTGAAAATTCCAATCTCAATACCAATAATATGCAATTCTGGTGCTATGTTATCCATAAGTATTTGAAATAATTTGTCAGCTCAGTATGGTTCTTAGTAGGGATATGATGAGTTAATATGTGATCTATGTAAAATTGTCACTTACTTCTGCAATTATTGCAAATACTGCAATGCTTTTGAGATATTGTTGTAGTTCAACTTTTTACATTTCAGTATTTCTAATAGCTAGATGAGCTAGACAACTAGTTTCTAAAAATCTAGCTGTAATATTGAATGTAGTCCAGATTCAGTTGCCAATTTAAATCTTTCTTTGGCACATATTCAGTTCATGAATTAGTAAGCTGTATGTTGTAGCAGGTTTTAATGTTGCAAAACTATGTATGCCATTCTTTCCATTTTCTAATGAACCAAATTCAAGTTGCTTTGCAAAATGGGGGGAACCGTAGAGGAGAGTGTTGTGTGTTGCTGTGTTTGGAAACACACATTAGCAGCAACTGAAGTCTACACCAAATGTGGTTGTAATATGTAAACAGAAACTTTATCTTTGACAGCTAATTTCATGTTCCAGTATGAAGAAACATAGTGGATGGGGAGACCATTTCCAATTCAATCTTCTTGTTGAGATTAAGCATTATAATCAGATTTATTTGACTTTGCTAACACTGTAAAATTTAGCAAAAATTACTTCCCTCTATGGTGTTAAATTAATATTAATGACAAAAAAGGTTTGTGAAAGCCTTTTGTGAGGAGAAGGGCAGCTATCCAGTGCTCATTGGGTGAAGAAATACATCTTGGAAGAATCCAAATATTAATTTGAAAATTAGTGGAAAAATTTAACAAACCTGTTTAGTTAACAGAAATACTAAGGCAAATAATTTAGTCATTCATTTCAGGCTACAGAGACAGTCTTTTAACTTCATGAGACAGGAAAAGTATATGTCACTGTTATCCTTTTTTTTTTTTTCTTTAATCTGCACTCTTGTCTGGGGACTAGGGAATCATTCAGAAACTTTTACTTGAAAATAACTCTGCATACAGTAGAGCATCCAGTTCTCTCATAAAAATAAGGTATTTATACTTGTTGGAAATAACCTTCAGTGCTGAGATACCAGTTAAAATATTTGGCTTACAGAGCTTCACGGAAATTATGGACTTTGAGATGGGAAGATAAGTTCAATTTATTGGGTTGAGTTCTTACATAAAGCCAGAAGTTCTGGAACTTTCCTCAGATTTGGCTGTTATATCGCAGAGCAGAGGAGATTATGTATCCAGGTATGCAAATATAAATATAATGACCTGACTTAGCACCTGCAATTCAGAATAGTAAAGATCATGTCTTAAAATATACATGTACATGTATGGCAGTATTCTAAATACCTGTACAATTGTCTGGAGAGGTGAGCTGAACAGATGATGGGTTGGTACATAGCTTTAGATGAAACGTGTATGAATGATACGAAGAGTTTAAAATACTTTAGTTTTCATCTTTGTGAAAATTTCATTTGTTTCTAATGCATTATACTAAACTTTTTAGATGCACCAATTGTGTATATTAATGTATTTAACCCACAGAATGAATTTGAGCTTGGAAAACTGTTAGCATCCTAAGAAACCTGTGTGTAGGACCATTACAACGGGTGCCTGAGAGCCAGAAGCACGCCATCAGTATGACTGTCTTGCCCACAGGGACAGTCCTTCTGGAGCACACCCCCCCCCATTATTTTTTTTTCTGCCAAGAGAGAGCTGTGTGTGGGATATTGTGATAGCAGCAGGTGCCAGTGTTTTTCAGGGCATCCTCTCAGGAGATGGAGCAGCAGAGGATGGCTGTTGCCACCAGAATGGGCTATTACTGCCTAGAGAAGAGATCAAGAGTGGGTGCAGATGGTTTTCATGGTGGAAGTGCATACCCAGCTAGAAAGCTTGTAGACATCTGAGTAATTCTGAGTTTCTAACAGATATATGGGTTTGGTACTCCTTTTGTTTAAGGAGTAAGGTGGTAGAAAGCAATTTAATTAAGTACATGATGTCCTCAGTCTCTGTTTCATTATATTTCATCTCAGTAGTGTAATGAATGGAAAAAGTTTGTTTTATACATTATTCTGTCCAAAGCACATCCTGAGCATGTAATAAGAAGGCTAAACACATGAAGTACTCCCTTGACTTGCTTAAGAACTGAATGTGCTGCCATCTGGTAGTTGTGCTCTGTTCTCTTGGCAGTATTTGATTGACTTCAATTTTCTCATGCAGTGCTGTCTGTCTTTTGGCTTAGGCATTATATTAATTCTACACTGTATCTACGCTTTTAATGAAAAAAATGAAGCTGTTGTGACAAACTCCTACTTTTATGTGAATAAAAGGAGGAGACTAGCTCTTTAAAGACTAAAAAAAAATAAGTTTTTGATATTAGTTGGCCCTAAGTTGTTTCAGAAACTTTATCTGAGAGACATGAAGTAAAGAAAGTCTTGGCACAACTTTTAGTATTCAAAAAATATACTAAAAATATGTAACAACAACAACGACAAAAAACTCAAATGTTTTTGATGAAAAGATGAAATCCCTGTTGCAGTTAACACTTGTTCCAGGGCAGGGTGACCAATTAGTTTTGGACTTGCAGGGCAGTGGGAAGCTTTCCAGTGCAGATCAAAAGGGACTGAGAGACAGTAAGTTTTGACTGTGTCTGGGGTTGTCGGAGTTAGTTGCTCCTTGGCTTTGGTTTAGTTAGGAGGGAAAGAGGGATTAATTTTTGTTTTGTTATGTTTTTGATGACAAGTACACACAGAGCAAGAACCAGTGTCTGAAGGCTGGTTAGCTTGGTTGTGCTGTATAGGTGGGGGGAAAACAGCAAAATCAGGTACTTCATCTAACATTTGTTTATTTTCATTTTTAATAGTGGGCATGAGTATTTCCCCCCCTAAGCTACAGACAAAGATCTGTATCACAGATGATGTGGTTTCTTAGTCCATTCTGTCAGAATCTGTGTTTCTACTAGGTGTCACCAACCTCACTTTTTGCTAGGAAAACAAAGAAACTCAAAATATTCTCAGGGACAGTAAAATTTCTATTTATAGAACTAAAGATCTGCATACCCCTGTCATTCTTGACTTACCTTTCCTTAGCATACTGTTTCCTCAAGGAGAAACTTCTGTGAAGCTTAGTGGAGGATTAATTCCTTTTTTTTTTTTTTTCTTTTCCTATTTGTATATTCCCAGGTGCAGTTTCCCCTAGACGTAGGTTCATTCAATTTTTAAAGCTGATGGACTATTCAAATTTAAAAAATTAAAAGCTTTCCAGTGTTTTTGGTTTTTATATATTTTTCAATCTAAATCCAATACACTGTACACTCTGGACTTAATATAAAATACGATGTTGAGGCATAAAAATGTAGCAAACAGTACAAATAAGTTCTGTGGTTGCATTTTGAAAATCTTAAACATTCTTTGATGTTTCTTTTTATTTACTAGAATTCATTCTTATGGCTAGGAACAAGGGAGATAGAGTTGTAAGAAATCACTTGGGAGTTTATCTGAGGTTGTCCCGATATGGCAATACTACCCTTTGATATTACTTATTAGTAAACATATTTTAAATACTCTCATATCTGTGTGGATTTTGTTCTACCTAAGGCAGACATTGGTGGAAGTAAGAAGCAGTAGTCAGTGTAAGGCAGCATCTTTATTTGCTTCGTTGTACAAAGTGCAAATAAACAGGAGTCAAGTAAAGGATTTAAGAAAGGTTTTGTTAATATGTGGTTTGGGTGTTTCTGTAAATGGAAATGTACGTGTGCTGGTAGGTAGTGTTGTTTTTTGTTGTTTTGGTTTTCTCCTTTTTTATGGAAAACTTGTTCTTCTTTGTATACAAAATGTGGTGTTTTTTTTTTTTTTAATAGGAAATGTGTTTTGGACAGCTATTTTAGCATAGCTACTTGATGATGTATTGACAGATATTAAATATCTGTTTATCCTCTCTTGGTCTTTTTTCCTTCCCTTGCTCAAGATCTTACTAGGATATTATACTCAGCTAACTTTTGAGTAGCATGATCTGTAAATTCCAGGCGGATTCAATGAAGTCTCACATTTTGCTCCTGCAGTTATGTAAGTGCATGCTAGGCATTTAACTTTGGGTTGTGGGTTAAATCAAGCCTGTGCAAAAGATTAATTCATAATTTCAGTGAGAAATCTAATTTAAACAAATAAAGTCAGTTATATTTGTAAGGAAAAAAAATGATTATAAGATTCATAATAATCATGATAGTGCTAATACTTCTTACATTTTCGTTATAAGTCCTTATGTCTTTTGGCATCATCTTCAGGCCTCCAAGCTTTTTATTGGTGTGTTGCTATGGTCTGCTTATAAATCTGACTGATCACTGTGTAAATATTCTCATTTACAAATGATGCTTGATTTAGACTGGCCCACAGGTTTGCTTTGATCTTAGTATCTCACTTTAGTATCTCAGAGGCATTCTTCCACTGAGGAAAGATTGGTACAGTGCCCTTCCAACAACGTTGTTTGTACACTGTCCTCCTATCCCACTGTTCAGTCACAAAACTTCACAGACCTGGAAAAATGTCTCGGATCTTTTGCTCTTGAAATCAAAAATACCCTTTTTTCTTTTTTTTCATCTTTCTCTCTCTGTCTCTCTCTGTCTCTCTCTGTCTCTCTCTCCTTTTAAACTTAGGAAATAGCCTCTTAAAAAAAATTGTCAATAACATTTGGGGGAAACTAAGAGATTTGAAAGGAATCTTTTCTTCTTGAAGTGGTAAATCACGGTCATAACCAAAATTGTTCAGAAAGTAGGAAGATGTTCATATATCAAGCAGGAAGGCCAGAGATCAAAGTTTTAGCAGTAAAATGAAAACGTTTAAATGTTTTTAATTAAATCTCATTCTGTAATTTAACTGAAAACAAGACCACCTAAGAGCAGACACGAGGATACCCTTATCAAGAAAGGAATTGAAATAAGCTGCTTCTGAAATACAAAAAGTCTCTGTGATGCAATGAATTGTGGTTACAGCCTCAAAAAACTTCCCGTTGAATTGGTGGAAGTTACTCTTAGGGAACTTTTACATCATAGAACCATGGAATAGTTTGGAAGGAATCCTTAAAGGTCATCTAGTCCAACCCCTGGCAGCCCATTGCCTCACTGCGAGTTATACATTTTGCAGCACTTCAGTCTTTTAAATGGGATAATGTACACACAAAAACATAAAGATGTAGTTGGCTGCACCTAAAGGAAGCTGTAATTTCTCATGCCAGCAATTTCATTGTTGAGAGCTTGATATCATAGTAAGAGTCATTTGATAATTGTTTAAGCAATAAGTTGTTTGGGCTTTAACGAATCACTTGATGAAAGGTGTTACTCGCGAGGGGAATGAAGTTTTTCTGCTTTGGTGGGAGGGGTGGCTAGGGAGTAGCTCTAGCTGATGCCACTTTCTGCCTCAAGCCCAGGGAAATGCTGTTATCAGTGCCACTGCATTTTAGACTTCCACTAAGGCTCTTTGTAGTGTTTTACCGGAATCCACTCAGCAGCTCTGAAACCTGGAAACAGCAAAGTCTGTAGAAACATGCTGCTGACTCTTTGCTGCTTTGGATACACACTGGTTTAGCCCTTGGCTCTATATGAAAGACATCAATATATCTGAAAATGACTCTGCTGTAGCTCAAAATCAACAGTGTAAATGGAAATAGAAGCAGTTTCCACAGTCCAAAAACATGCACAGGAAAAAAAGACTGTCGTCATTACTTTTAAGAATAAATCAAAGTATCTTTTAATAGGTGAATACTTTTGCCCATCACTAACAAGATGTACCACAGAATAGAAAGGATTTTTAACAGATTTTTAGTGTCACTGAATTACAGCAGTGTTGTAAGCTAAATTGCTATATGCACATGCATGTATGCCCGGTTTTTTGCTGAAATATTACAGAACCATCTAAAGAACTGCTTTTAAAACTTAAAACTTCTCCATAGAAAGATGTTTGTTGACAGAGCCACATTGCTCTTTGTGTCCTTTTATTTGACAATGGACAGCAAACACTCTAGAGGAGGCTTTTGTGTTTGTTTGTTTGTTTGTTTGTTTGTGTTTTAGGGGGACCAGTAGGTATTTTATACAGAGATATTTTTTTTTTCGTTTTCATCATTGCACTTGGCTTATGCTCTAAGGTGCAAGTGTATCTCTGTCAAATATTTTATTGTGTCTTGGGCTTCTGTAAAGCATATTTCTGTATGCAGTACTAAATTTCTTTGAATCTTCATAAGGAATAAGCTAATAAACCATGGAAGACCACAGTTATTTTTCTTTTCTTTTTATGATGAATTATCTTTTCTTCTATTCTCAGTGGACTGGGGTATCCAGTTTACCTTTTCTACACATCTGTCATGGTCCTTCTCTTCATGTGTTAAACATTAGCACAAACAAAATAAAAAAGAATCTAAGTTGTTTATAACTTTTGAAGTTGCTTTGCAATTCGCCCTTCAGACTGCAGTAATTAAACAGATTAATTGTTTGATATTTACAACCTTGCTCTGTGTCCTGTATAACTTTGCCTCTCTTCCTATTTGATAACACTCTCTTGGCTTTTCCACAGACTCACATTTCAAGACTTCCTCCTGGAGCCGTGGCAGGACAGTCCGTGGCAATAGAAGGAGGGGTTTGCCGACTGGAGAGTCCAGAAAGCTAAACAGCTGATTCCTCACTTCATTGCAAAGAATGTGAATGACTTTTTGTACAATAAGGGGTTTTTTTTGTGTTTTAACAGATGTTGGAAATTCTACTCCTGTTTTACACCACGTATTGCAACCATGTGCACCATAACTTGAGACAAGTGCTGCTGTAGTTTATGTTCTCACTCTGTGAATGGGGGTGTGTGCATGTTCATTTTTTCCCTAATAAAATAGGAGCTCTTCCCAGTTGTACAAAGATTATGTATGATTAATGATTGTGTTTTCATTGTTTTATGTTTGAAAAATATCTGAAAGTTCAAAAAAAAATTAATTTAAAGATGTGGTCACAATTGTCATTCATGTTCTAAATTTAAAAGTAACAGGCCTTTGAAGTGGCTGTATAATTATGCAAAAATGATTATGGTTTCTAAGTTTCTCAGTGGTTTAAGGAAATCCAGTGATGGTTTAAACATGGGTTGTTTTTTTCCTCCCCAATAAGGAGGAATTTTTTTGTCAAAGAGTGGTTTCAGTGAAACAAACTAAAGCAGAATTAAAGCTAAATTTGTTTTAAATAATCTTATAGGTCATATCTCTGTTCCCAAACTAAGATGTTAATAGCTTCAAGCTGTATGTATTACAAAAAGCTATATAAAGATAATGTATCGTAATGCAGTCTTTATGTATAATGGAATATTACAATGTAAATAAGAAAACAAAGTTTATGGAAAGATTCAATATTATTCTTCGCTTCTGTTTTAAATCTATTTTTGAGAGAGGTACAGAAATGAACATATTACTGGATGCGAAGTGCAATGTGTATTGAATGGATGTTGGGAGGTCTGATACTAGCTTTCTTATCGATAAAGCAACTTCCTAAAGTCCAGCCACAGCATGGGTATTTATATAACTGTGTGTAATTTGTATGTACTGTGCATAAATTTACTGTAATTCTTTTTTATACCTTCAACAAAACTGCAGTATAAAACAATGTAATCCTTGTCTGCCTCGTGAAGCATTGGCAGCTGAACTGTCTTTTGTCACCAGTTCTGATACGTTAGCCAGACGCCTGAGTCCTAAAAGTGAGTTCTGACATACAATCTTCCATTCAGTACTTTTTTCTTCACAGCACTGGCAGCAATAGAATACTTTTGTAATTAATTCATTGTCCTGATAAGTATGCCAAAGAGAAACTAAATTAGTTCATCTTTTTCCCTGGTGGATATTTGATAATTCTGTTTTCAGAAATAGTGGATGAATAGATATTCAGACTGTATTTGCTTAATCGGGCATTGTACTTGCCTCTTTTGTAATGTTGTGCCTGCCCATAACAGACATACTTGATTGATTAAATGGTTACATTGATTGTAGTACCAATCTTTCATGGATAAAAATCTTAATAAATTTTTTTTAATACCCAGAGTTCGTTTTCATTTTTATGTTAAATAATACATTGAGGTACTGTCATTTTTTGCATTTCTTTATTTATTATTTTTTATTTTTATTGTGACATCGATGTCATTCTGTAGTTGAAGATATTTCTATAAATTCCTGCAAAAAATATGAAGCAGGCTTTTCAGGTTGCAAAAACAAAAAGTGGAATGCACATCAGTCTGCATCTCAGAGGATATACTTATTCTAGTCTGATGAAGTGAAGTAGAGCTACACTGATTTGCACTAGCAGAGACTGTGGCAGTGAAGGGTACAACACTTCAGAAATGTTCTAACAAAGAAGCTGAGTTGTCAGAGACAGTAAAATTTCTCTAAAATACAACAGTAAGTGACTGTATGGGTGCTGTACTATGTAGTGAGTGAAAGACATAAATAATTCTTATGGGTTTGCAAGTACCCAAATTTGAAAACCACATTTTCTTTGGAAAAGTATTTGGAAAAGTAACAGTGTTAACCTTCCATTCAAAAAACATGCTTTTCAGTGTTGCCTTCATAGAAACATTTGTATAAATTCACTCTTTCATGGAATAAGCATGGCAAAGGGCTTGTAAAATGGCAGGTTCTTTCTTCCACTCACTTCCTTAATTTCTCTCTATGGAGATCTGTATTCCAGCTTATGATTTTTTCCCATATGCTGTCTCAAAATCTTATTTTTGTGTGTGTGTATATACATACGTGTATATACAAATCATAACCCAAGTGTCAAATGACGTTTTGCTTCTCCTTTGCTTCCATGTGTAAGTAGTACTCCAATCAATTACTTCATAAGTAGTATTTGTCAAAAAAGTCATGTTTCTTCATGAAGCTATTGTAGGAATTATTGTTTGAACTTGGACAGTGTCTCTTTTCATTATCCAACTTTTCCCCATTCAGTCTGAATATAGGAAAAAGGAAAAAAAAAAAAAAAAGTTATCCTGAGAATCACAAGCAAGGTATGGAGTACAAACCAGGTACAGAGTTGACTTTCTACCTAAGGTACTCATAAGAAGCAAACTGTTAGCACGTTTGCATTTCTGTATCAATAATCATGAAGCCTGGCAGGAGCACAACTTCCTATCATCCTACTCCCACTTAAGCCAATGAAAGATCTTACACAGCTTTAATTGCGGGTCTAATTCTGCTGCTAGGTCTATTTTGGACTTGAAAAGGGCTTATGAAAAGTAAGTGGTGAAGACGACAGATACACTTTGCAATGAAGTGATCTGTTTGCGATGAGTAACCATTGCCACTGGCATAAGCAGATACAGTCCAAGAATAAATTATACAGTTGACAGCAATAGCTTGCTAAAATTATAAAGGAAGGGTAACCAAATGAAATGCATATAAATACAAACAATTTGAATACTGATTTTTTTATACTCAAACACACAATTACATGTCCTAGGTTATTTTGTAGCAGACAGGTTGGTGCCAGTGTAGTCAATCATCTACCATAAGAAATTTCACTGCTAGAAGCTTGTAATAGCCTCTCAAAGTAAAGTTCAGAGGTGATTTGAATTCCATGTTGTGTATTCTGTAGGTACAAAGACTTTGCTTCTCTGCTTGTGAATTAATCTATGGAAAGGGCATGAAATTCAGGTGATTTGAATGGGAAGGAAGAGGGAGCCTGACTTTCTGAAGCTGCAGCCATTCTCCATGCAAAAGTTAACATAGTACATTTTGTGGAAGAAAGAGAAGAAGGCCTAAGAGGAAGCAAAGCTGGTAAAAAACAAACAAACAAACAAACAAAAAAAACAAAACAAAACAGGGGCATTAGCAAGGCTATGATAACTGCCATTGTTAACTAAAATTCAGGTTAATAGCAGAAGCCCAAACTATTGTTTATTATGGTATTACAGTTGAAACCGGTGCAACATTTCACAGAGGACAGTCTTTACAGCTCCGTTTTGAGCAGAATGATACAGAATTAAAGACAGGAAGTTATGGAGCATGTATCTACACATTTGAGAAAATGAAAACTTCTCATTCCACCATAATTCCTAATAAGCCTATAGCTTTTTTTTTTTTTTTTTGGCTTTTTTTTTTTTTTTTTTTTTTTTTTTTTTTTCCTTTTTTTTTCTTTTCAGAAAGCAGTGTGGGAAGATTAGTCCTGTGCTTGACCATTCACTCCATTACAAGATAGCACAGAGATTAGGAGGACTTTTTTTTTTTTTGTTTTAAGGTCTTATAATGATGCAGCATTCATCTTCTACATAACCTAGGCAATAAATCCTCATAATAATGATTAGGATCACTTAATGGTGGTTAGAACACAATAAATGGCTGTGTTGTTATACGCACTCCTGTGAACTCAAACCAAATGAAACTTTAGTGAACACATGAGCAACAGCTGCCATGAGACCTGCTTTCCTATGGCTTTTTGTCTTAACCACAATACCCTCAGTTGCCTCAAAAGTCTCGCGTGTTGCCGATGCAATGCACTTATTTTATTTCCTATGCCCTACGCTGCTTCAGTACTGTAAGGTATCTCTTGCAAGGTAATATCCTGCTCTTCTTCCCACGTTCCCCATCCCAGTACTGAACTGTCAGCTACACCGTCTCCTCTGTCTCCACACACTGCAATATCTTTAGCTAACCCTCATGTTCCTGGTGTTTGTACACATCTGCTGCACAGGAGGCAGCACATGTGTGTAGACACAGGGTAGGTGTCTCTTATACCTTGGCTGCTGGTCTCAAGGGTTGCCTGTAACCCCTAGGCACTCCCATGGGCAACGACTATCTGTCAGATAAGTGGTCCTCTTCAGATTTGTAGAAATTGGCTAATGGTGGCAGGAATTACTGAAACAGAACAGACAGCATGAGTGTGTAAGCTTGGTTTCCTTAGGATCCAGCCTAAAAATATGAAGCAGCTTCTTCGCCTTATTTCTTAAACAGCGTTTGAGAAGCTTGAGAACAAACCAACTTGCACCAAGAGCTATATTCACCAGCCTATCTAGGGTAGTTTAGGGATGTACATGAGTCAAAGCTGTCAGGCTCCAACTAGCCTGGGGAGCAAACAGCTGTGATGTTATGGTATCAGTGTTCATCCCGGAGTTCGTATAAACCTGCCAAGGACTGTGGGTGACATGTTCTTGCCTGGTTAACCTCTGCTATGCTCTGCACTTTCAGGCACTTGTGGTTTGTTCCTGTGCACACTGTGCAGGTGTGTGTCAGCCAGGCATGCAGGGGGACTAGCAGAGCAGGAGCCCTGCTGCTTACCTCACCATCCCATTTGGAGTCTATCAATCAGCCGCAATATATTGTAGTCGATATTTAGGTTAATGTTGCTTAATGGACTATGCCTTGTTACGTTGACGTAAATATCCACATATGAATACAGAAAGAGAACGCCTAAACTCATCTTTCTAAAATAAAAAAAAAATCTTCCAAAGTTGTTAAAGTGCAATTTTCAGAAAGTACTACATGAAGGCGAATGTTTGAAGTGAGATCGTGTCCCCAGTGAAGTCACTAGGAGCTCAGCCATCAGCTTCAGCAGAGCCAGGACATCTCTCTTTGAAGTCTTTCTCTTAGAGGAGTCAAACATTACGAGTCCCTTAATGTCAACACTGGCGACTTCTGAAATGAGATTGAGCAAGATGTTTTGATGGCTGATGCTTATTTTTTGGATTATCTGAGAGTATCAGTTGGTTGTGCAGGGATTGAGAAGTCAGATGGAAGAATCAAAATGGAGACTCTCCTGTGCAAATAATTTGATGAAAGCAGACTATGACTTTGCTCCAAAAGGAGCTCTTCTCTAGCCAAGGACTTTCAGTGCTTTTTAAAATTTAAATAATTTTTCTAAAGGTGATAATTTCTACAGCTCTTGTTTCCCTGCGGATGCATGTATGGAAATTGGATGGAATACACTGTGTGCTGCAGTACAAACATTAGCAGGGATTTGCGTTTGGCGTGATACAGCCTAGCAGTGGAAAAAACACTGTGTTCAGGGTTGTGTATCAATAAATCACAACACCAGCCTGAATTGTAAAGTCTTCTGTGTGTACTGCACAGAAATAGAAATGCTGTTAAACGTGTCTTTAAAATGGTTTCCCTAAAATGTGTGTTGTATCCCTCAGCCAATACAGCTGCACGTTATGGTGCCATACTGCAAGTCTCCAGACCACGCTGCCCATGGACCGGAGGAGATTCGACTCAGAGTTGAATTTTACAGTTTGAACATGGTGCTTCTTTACTTCTCATGGCTAAAAGTAAGCTCTCTTGTCATGTGTCGGCATTGAGGTGCTGCAGCGGGGGAGCTGCGGGGCCTCTGTGAGGGAGCCGGGGCTGCCCCACGCTGCTTCCAGAAAGTTCTGGAGGCTCCTCAGAGGCACCTGAGGGGAAAGGGCTGGAAGAAAGGGCAGCGTGGTGCTGGGCAGCAAGGGTGAGAGGAAAAGGGTGAGGAACAGCCCTGAGGGGAGAGGAGGAGGGGGAGGAGGTGCTCCAGGCATGGGGCAGGCATTGCCTGGCAGCCTGTGGACAGACTAGAGATACAGTTTTTTTAATTTGTGCTCCTTTCACGCTATCCAAACTTATTTTAATTGGAAATAATAAATTAAACTACTTTTCCCCAAGTTAAGCCTGCTTTGCCAGTGATGGTGCTTGGGAAGTGATCTCCCCCTCTTGATTTCATCTTAATTTCTGTCCATGTTGAGGAGGGGGAGTAAGAGACCGGCTGGCAGCCAGCCGGGACCTGTGCACCAAAGGGATGAATTACGGTTGCACCTAGAAATTCCTTCAAATCTTAAAGTGCCATTTTGCAGATGATAAGCTTTTTCTTGTGATAGGTGAAAAGCTTTTTCTTTTGGGTCAGTGAACTGAATTTTGTGCCCTGCAGCTGCAGGATCGTTAGGTGTAATGTAAAGGAACCACGGGAGCACAGGGATGCAAGAGGGATGGAGGGGATGGGATATCCCCTCTTGGCTGATGTTAAATCAGATTAGGTGTAGCATGAAACTGCCCCTTCATTGCTCTCACTGTGATCATTCTTT